ATTTCTAACAATTATATATTATTCTATAATAGAGTGATAATAAATGGACCAAATATCTTCTAGAAGCTAATGATGAACATCGCAAGTATTCTAGACCCGAATAGACTATTTTTATTTAAGAGGATACTAGTTTTTTACGAATTCTGCTGCAACATTCAACTCTTCCTAACAAAACTAATATGAATAATACGAATGATGTTTATTTACTACTTAAATTAGTTGGGATAGATAATGACTTTAATAATAAAGTTTTTGTACCTTTGATTCCCAATTATCGTATTTATACAAAATTGGGAGAAACATATTTTAGATTAGATTTATAATAGTGTGATAAAGAAAATACCATTTTATATAGATGGAACGATTTTGCAAATGATTTTATTTTTACTAATGTATAACAATGGTATGTAGCATATGATAATCTAACTAGTTTACGATTATATATTACAAATACACCACGTATCAAATACTCTGGAACAATATCAGTACCATTTTTATTAGGGTTAACTTGCAAAGAAAATATAAAATGGCTTAGAGGGTTTGTTTCACAACATATTTTAAACTTCATTCAATTAGAAAGAACATTCTTTTCTGCTGAATGTCAACGTGATAATGTTCTTAAATAAGCAAAATGAAAAGCTAAAGAGTTGCGAGAGGATTTATATTTTGAAGATTCTCATAATAAAGGAATTATTAGAGAGGGATTACCTATTGTAGCTAACGGATGGCAGGATCAAATGAGACAATACAAGCTTTAGGTATCAAATTAATAGAATCACAAAACCAGGTGTCTGAAACAAAAAATAAGTTGAAAGTAACTAAAAAACGTCTACGTTAGTCATTAGAAACCATTCATAGACTAAGAACTCAAATAGAGAATGAATCCGACTTTACAAGGTTTGCTTTTTTATTTATAATAATTTGTTATTTTCAAATTGAAATATGTTTTAATATGTAATATTTTTTATTTTTTAGTGAAGAAAAAACCGATAATAAACTAGAATCATCAATTCAAAAACTTACTCAAAAAGGACAATTAGGTTCTACCATTCTTGTTAGTACTAATATCTTTTTAG